TCCCCCCACCCCTGGAAACACAGAAGCACCACATGTGGCCTATTCCCCAGTTCCTTGCTTCCTTCTAGAAACATCCTCTGAAAAAAACAAATTCACACAGCACCAGAGCAGAACCAGCCTGAACCCAAGTGTTCCCCAGGAATTACCCTGAGGCTGACCCAAGCTGGAGCACCCTCAGTGCCCAACCCACACATGAGAGTGTGAGAGGTGAGTTCTTACTTGTGATGAGGGAATTCATGATGATGTGAGTGGCCTTGGCCTTCACCACAGGCACCTTGTTCACACTTTCTGTGGACGATGAAGGAGTTATGACAGGTTTCATGTTGGCATCCCCTTCCTCATCCTGTGGGGAAGCAGCAGAGGACAGTTTGAGATGGGAAGGTATCTCAGCACCTGGCCAGGACACATCTCTAACTACACAAGTTAGAAAAGGCCATGCTGCTCTGGCAGCCAAGCTTCGTCCCATGGGAGAAATCCCTCCACTGTGCTCACTGCACTTCTCAATGTTCAGAACCTTAGAATTCATAGCAATGAACAACCAACTTGCATAAAACATTTGAAAACCTGCCAGGCTCAGAGCAAACAAGCTGTTAGTCCAAGTACAAAAAGGTCAACAGGAAAGAAACCAGAACATCTGCTCTCCTAAATGCAAACTGGACTTCAAGGTCAACTGGACAAAAGCACCGAGAGAACCTTCCACAGGCAGCTCAAGCACCAGCTGTTCACAGAATGGCGGCCACAGAGCAGAGCCTAGAGCAAACAACTTGTTTTCCTACCTCGTTCCTTACATGTTTCTTGCTCAGTCTGCCCGGTGGTCATAGTTCTACCACTGACCACAAGACTCCAGCAAAGAAACAGAAAATAAATGGTAGAAAACAAAATATCATATGAAACACTGACTTCATCCTCCCAAAATTGGAGTACCCTGACTGGAGAATTTACTTTTTGTACCTAACCACAACTTCTGGTTGTCTCCCACAAGAGATTTAAAAACCGAAGAGGTATCAAGCAGAGGTCAAGCCCAAAGAGATGCAGAGTTACAGACTTCCATCCAAAAACATTTAGCTTAATTTCAAACTCAGAAAACAGTTCCCAAATTTAAAAGGGCTGGTCCTACACTCAAAGCATAGAATTCCCAGAACAGTTTGGGTTGGAAGGGAACTTAAAGACCATCCATTTCCACCCCCCTGCCATGGTGGGGGGACACTTTCCACTAGAGCAGCTTGTTCAGAGCTCTCACCAACCTGGCCTTGAACACTTCTAGAGATGGGGAAGCCACAGTTTATCCGTGCAAACTGTGCCAGTGCCTCACCACCCTTATTATAAAGGACTTACATCCAACCTAAACCACCCTTATGCCCTAGTTTAATTACACCTGGTTGCTGGGGATTTTTTAACCACAAACACGGAGGGGACGCTCAGCACACGCTTGTCCCACCCACACCTCCGTGTGTCCGGAGCAAGGCCAGACAGCAGTGCCAGGCTCTGTCCCCAGCCCCTCCCGAGGCTCCTGCTGCGAGGGCAGGGGGGCAGCGCCAGCCAGGCAGGAGGGGTGTAAGGATGGGTGGGATGCTTGGGAGAAGGGTAATGCCAGGAGAGGGGTGCTGCGGGGTACCCAAGGACATGCCGAGGCCAACCGGGCCCGTACCTTCGAGAGCTCCTGGTACTTGCGCTCGGGGATGACCGGCTGCTTCCAGAGCACGCTGGCGCACAGATCGGCGGGCGGCGGTGTCATGGGCGCCGTGTCCTCCAGAGCATCATCGTAGCTGAAGGCGCGGCGTGGGACGCCGAGCGGCAGCGACATCCTGCCCGAGCGGGCCCCGCTGCCCGGCTCCAGAGCTGCGGAGAGAGCGCAGCACTCAGCGCCCGCCGCCGCGCCCAACCGAGGCCGGGGGGAGCGCGTGGGGAACCTTACCGGGAGCGTCGGGCTTCCCAGAGCTCATACCGGGGCTCAGCGAGGCTCTGCGAGGAGCAGCAGGGCCAGGGCCGGGCCCGGAGCAGCCATACCGGAGCCACCGCGAGCCGCCACAGCCAGTCGTCACTCGCACCTGAGGAGGCGCTTTTATAGGGGCGCGGTCTCGCGAGATGTGGTCATTCCGTGCGGGGTATGCCGGGAGGTGTAGTTCGGATGAAGGAGGGGTTTACCGGACAGGCGGGGTCGCGGCGGGTCCCCAGCGCACCCACGGCCGAGGTTGTGTTCTGCCTACGTGTCCTGTCCTCCTGCGGACAGGAGGTTGCTGGGTCAGCTCACAGGGCGCTAGGTCCTGGAAAACCAATCCTGGAGGCTGGCAAGCCCATCAGGGAACAGGAGTACGTGGCAGTCTCGCTGAGACAACTTTTCTACTGCTGCTCCTTCCTCTTGTCAATGAAAGGGTTACCTCTCTGCTGCCCTCCCATTTCCTCTCCCAAGCAGCACATGGCCCTGCTCCAACTAACGCTGCCTACAGGACAATCAGCAAAAGTGTGAGTGTTGCCCACATCCAATCCTGTCACCACAGGGGGGTGACATGTGCCCAGTGCCAACATCACACAGGCTGGCACCAGGAGCTCTCCAAAGCAGGACTGCACCAAGCAAGAGCCCACAAACAGGACATTCACAAGCAGCTAGAAAGAATATTTTATTTTAGCAAAGCTAAAGAAATGCTGGCTGCCACACAGAAAGTGAGCAGAACAGCACAGTCAGTGCCAAAAGTCTTTCATGGATAGTAACAACCATCTCTGCCTAGTGAGGGTCCTTCCTCCATCACACCAGAGGCTTTTTCAGTTTGGAAAATATTCATGTCAAGCCTGCACTTGCACGTTAACCTGAGGAAAAAGAGCAGTCACTGCACTTCCATTTTTTCTGGCTTGAGTGATGCAATGAAATTCTTGTACTCCTCGGGATAGAAATTCTTGTAAACATTGATCTTTCTCTTAATCTGCTTGGGAGTATCCTGGTAGTAGTTCTTCTCATCCCGAGCCATTTCCTGGGACAAAGGAGAAGGTAAGTGAGAGGAGCAGCCCCAAAAGCAAACACCAAACCAGCCCACCCACACCAGTGTGATCACTGCCTGACTCAGACAGGGAGCTGGCCACAGTTCAAAGCGTTTCTTCCCTTAAGAATCAGCTGACTGCAAAACAGGATCCAGGACAGAGAGGATTAGAGGTTCTCATCCTGCTGATGGGAAGATTCAAGAGTGAGTTACTCCGGGTGCTTCTTGCTCTGGAATGTACCTTGTAGTTCTCCCCGTGGTTCTGGATCATGTATCGCACATAGTCAATGAGGTCTCGTGAGAGCGTGTTTGACTTCTTCTCAGGGAGGCTGGCCTCCAATTCCATCTCTAGGCAGAGGGCAGAGGTAGCGTGAGCGAGGGGAAGGAAGCAACAACACCTCAGAGATCCTCAACCTCCCCCCAAGGTTGACTCCAGCCACACAGCTCGGCTGCTGGTGCATGCAGGGATGTTTCCCAGCATGATGGTGCAGGAAAATGGCCAAGACAACAGCCCTCTGCTCGGGCTGCGGGCATCCTGGCCTGCATTGCAGCTCCTCTCCAGCTCACATGTGAGGAGTAGACCCTTTCAGCCCAGGCTGCAGAGTGTGACTCCTGCCCAGCCCACCTCTGAAACACGAGGTATTGCCTCCACAGCTTCTTGTCACCCTGGATGCACACACCAGCACATCTCGCAGTGACAAGAGCCCTCCTGAGGCTGCAGGGACAAACACTGTGGAAAAGACATGCTCCTCCACAAGGCTGGATAAGAAACAACACCCTTCCCTACCCCTGGCACAGCACAGGATGACAAAATAACCCAAAGGGGCTTAGGAGAGCCCCAAATGCAACACTGACCATTCACCACGTATGGTTTCCGCACTATTTTCTTTCCTGGCTGTTGTCCATCGCTTTCCACTTCCACCCCCTGAATTATAGCAGAGAAAGACAAATGAAAAAAAGCTGATTTGGAAGAATGCTGCATCCCCACACATTGTTCCCAAAACTCCTAACTGCTTCTACATGGTTGCACAGGGCAGGAAATCCCAGCTGGCTTAAGCAGAGCCTTACTTGTACCATTAAACTGGCTTCTGGATGAGGCTGTCAGCTGAGAAACACTGTGTGAATGGAGACAAATGGCAAACAAGGTCATTCCTACTTTTTCCTTGTGTTTCTTGGGGCCACCTTTCACCTGAAATCGTTGCCCTCTTATGCAGATGGGCCAGGCTGGCACTGCTGTGCACAGAGAACCATTCTTTGTTATCAGAAGAAAGTTGGCTGCAGCGCTCCCAACCCCACCTGTTTCTGGCAAGTCCCAGGAGATGGACTGACGTTTTTTATATTTATTCTAAAGTCCATTGTGTCTCCGGAGCTCTGTAGCTCGTTCCCACGCCAGGATCTTGGTGAGATAAGCGTGTAGATCAAGATAAGATACGTATCCACCGCCAGAGACTTATCCAGAGCCACCTGCCCCGTGCTGGGAGGGTACCTCCCCTCGCAAAGGAGCGGTCACAGCCAAACCCTTCCTTACCAGCAGCTTCTTCGGGATGGGGACAGCCTTGTTGGGATCCTCGGCCAGGCCCATCTCGGCCAGGTTCTGCGCCACCGACTTGTGCGGGTCCCAGGCATGGCGGATGTGCGAGCTGCGCAGGGACAAGGGACATCACTGCTGTGTCCGTCATCCCGCGGCGCTGCGCGTCCCCCTCCCCACCGACACGTGCAGCAGCTCCCGGCCGCCTTGCCCCAGCCCCCGCTCGGCCCGCGCCCCCCGTGTCCCCGGCGCTCACCAGGCGATGCGGGGCGCGGCGCGGCGGCGGGCGCTGCGGTACAGCCGCTTGCGGTTGAGGTTGTAGGAGTATTTGTGCCGCCGGCTCTTCCCCTTGGCCTTCGGCATGGCGGACACACGCCAGCTCGCCACGGGACTGCCGCGCACGCCTCGGGGCACCACGGGAAGTGTAGTTTCGAGGCAGCAGCGCCGCGCGATAAGTGTGGGTGTCGGACTGCAACCCCCGGCATGCACTGCCTCGGAGGCGGTGGCTACGGCAACTGGAAAGGGCCGTTGTTGTCACCTTGGCCATGGCGGCCGGGCCGCCCCCACCGCTGGAGCCCAGCCCGCTGCCCACGTTCTCTGAGGAGGGATTCGTGGAGAAGTTCGTGCGCAAGACCCGGGAGAACCCCCTGGTGCCCCTCGGTGAGGGTGGGGCGGGGGGTAGCGGGACGGAGGCTGAATGAGGGGCGCTGGGGGGCGATGGTCGCCGGTGAGGGGCCGGGCCCTCAGCCCCAGGCCGGCTGCAGCCCGGGGAGGCGCGGCTCAGGTTTGGGAGTGCGGTGGAACCGGCCCGCAGCGCTCAGGCCCGGGGTAAGCCGCACCTCACAGCCGCCCTCCTTCCCCGCAGGCTGCCTGTGCACCGTCGGTGTCCTGGCCTACGGGATTATCTGCTTCAAGAAAGGCCAGACTCGGCGCTCCCAGCTGATGATGCGGGCGCGTGTCGTAGCCCAGGGCTTCACCATCGCTGCCCTGGTGGGAGGCATGGTGGCCACGACTGTCAAATCCCGACAGTGACATCGGACAAAAGCGAAGCTGCGGCCACGGGCAAGAGTCTACCAGCAACCCCGGCTGGCAGAGTGAATCCTGGCTGCAGATGGAGTTTTCTGAGAAACTGTTGTGATGTCTCAGTGGAGCTAGTTCTGGAGCACTGGAAATGGGGTGAATACACTCTGTGATTAACATGTCATTTGGGCTGTGGTATTTTTTTTTTGTTTCTCTCAAGAGCTCACCCTCCTGCAGCACTGAGGCTGCAGGTCACTAAGTCTCACCACCCCTGTCAGACTTCTTGTCCCTGCTTGATGCTGTCACAGGCTGATAAAATTGTGTCTTCTTGGTCCTGGACTGAGGTGTGGTTGTAGTTAGGCAGTGACCAGCATTTGAGAAATGAGCTGCTCATGAGGAAGGAACCGCTGCTTATCACTTGGTCCTGGCAGGACAAAGTCCCTAGGCAGCAGGAGAGGCAGTTTGGGAGGTTGCGTGACCTGTTCAATTAAAACTGGTGAGTAATAAAGTGAATTGCAGCAAGATTCTTACTGATACTGCATTGCAGAGCACTGAAAAGCAGGGAAAAAAGGGAGTGGGCATGGCTGTCTTGAAGCTGTGGTGATGCAAGAATAAACAAGACATGAAACTCCCTGTGGAAACAAGCAGGGAACTCACATTTCTGAAATGGGGTCTGGCTGTGTTCTCTGGGATGTGCTGCTGCTTTGGCTGTTCTTGCTGGGGAGTCAGCAACACTTTATTCCCTGAGGGACCTGCACTGTCTGTGTCCTAACAAACATGGTCCCATTGTGGGCTTTGGCTCATACCAGGGGGTTTGGTGATCCACGAGGCTTTGCTCTCTCATGCCAGGGCTAGGAGGTCATGGGGCCACAGTCTCTGTTCATCTCACTGCAGCTGCAGCAGCTTGGGCTGTTTCCAGGTGTTCTGTGAGTTGGTGCCTGTGCCCTGAGTTCTTAAAAGGATGGGCCGATAGGGGTGAACCCTCTATCTGCAAATGAGCACATGGATTGTCCTGTCCAGTGAATTGTGCTGGTGGGTCTTGGCAAAGAGAGAGGGAAGGCTCTTGCTCACCAGAGCTGACCTCTGAGACGTGAGGGTGGGCAACAAGCCATTGCCAGTGCTGAGCAGGGTGAGCTCCACCTCAGCACTGGGGAGCCCAGGGCCTGTCTTCCCTCTCTGGGTGCATGTGCAGAACATCTTTCCCAGAGGAAACTGCTTTTGGCTGCCTCACTGGCACTTCCAGCCCAGCCAGGGCAGGGCTGTGAGGAGCAGTGGGTGGGCAGATCCACGAGCACAATCCCTTGGCAGCTGAAGAGCGCAGTGGACAGGGGAGCAGCTCAGCCTGTTTGGACAAGCCAGAGCTTGCAGCTCCTTGGGGACAGAACCAAGCCCTGGGTCCTGCTGCCACTGCTTTGGCCCCATCTGAGCACAAATCCTCTGGCCTTCCCCTCCAGTTTTTTCCTGTAGAATGTTCCTCCTCCAGCCCCATCCTTTCCACAAGAGGCTTCATGGCTGTGGTTTCTCCTAAACACAACATGCATCCCTAACACAGAAAGACGACAGTGCCCTGTAGGATTGGAGATGTCGGTTTATTGTAACAGGTAATTTGGACAGTCACAGATACCAAAGCCGAGGGGATGTAGAATAGCTGTGGGCACGGCTCCCCGAGAGCTGCCCCAGCCTGACACGGAGCAACATGGCAGCTGGGGGACCCAGGGGCCCAGCTGCCTGCAGGGGCTGGAGGGACAGAGCACAGGGGGGACACATTGCCCCCTACAAGTAGCCAGGTGTGCTTCCTGCTGCTCTGCGATGAAAGGCTAAGGCAGGCAGCCGAGTCCCCAGGTGTCCTGCAGCACAGCAGAGCTGCCTACACATGCTGGAGCTCAGGGGGGCCAGGCAGGAACAATCAGCCCTATGGGCAGGGGGCACAGTCCCAACACACAACACTGATTCCCTACACACCCATTTACCTTCCCAGCCCACTGGTGAGATCATGGCCCAGGGCCATGGGTGCCCAGGCACCCCCCACAGCTGCAGCAGCAGGACTGGTGACATTCTGGCCCTGGAGCCACATCTGCAGGGCAGAAGAGCTCTGCACACTTGATTTCCAGCTGGAAATCAAGTGTGCAGGGCTCTGCAGAGGGGCTCAAGTGAATGTTTTGTGGACTCTGCTCCAAGACCCTCCAAGCTGCTGCAAGCCGTTCCCAAGCCCTCAACAGCTCAAGGCTGTCCCTCTCCTGCTATGAAGGAGTTGTGCAGGTTCGCAGGACTGGTGCCATCCCTGTCAAGCAGAGGAGAGAAAGTTCGAGCAGGGAGCAGGACTGAGGCATCTCCCTACACTGCCTTAGGTGGGCAAATCCTGGGGAGGGGGCAGAGCAACTGCAGACAGATGTGCAGGTTGTTCTCAGGGACACTGCAAGCCGAAGCACCAGAATTCTGCCCAACCCTGCTCTGGGTCCCTGGGTTAGGAAGCTGTGGGGCTTGACCTGCCCCACAGCAGCTGGATCTTCCTATTTCCTTCCCTGCAACCACACAGCCTCCATCTCCCATTCTGGTAGCAAGGGAAGGAGTAGAGCAAAGCCAAGAGTCCCCCAAAGCCTGACATTCCACATTCCCATCTGCTGGTGTTCACGGGGGAAGGACAGGAAGCATCCTGCACGCTGCCCCCATAGTGCCTTCCCAGTGACCCACACCACTGTGCTGCCAGCAGTGGGACAGATGGGACATGGACACTGGAGCCCCACAACATTTTGGGGCATAGCTAGCCTGGGCAGAGTTCTGATGGACTTGGGGCAGCTGCTGGCAGTCCAGGTCCAACCTGGGTGCCTGTATTCACATTCCTCAGTCCCTGCCAGTCTGACAGTGCCATGCTGCAGGTATGCTCCCTGCAGGACCCAGCAGTGTGGAGCCAAGCCATGGCTGTTTCTCCACCCTCCCAACCCTGCAGACAGCAGCCCAGGACCCCACTGGGATCCCTGTCTCAGGGCTAGGACTGAGGCCTGGACATGGGGCTGCCAGGACAGCTGCAGGCAGGTTTATTCCCAGCACAGGGCTGAAGTGGGGAACACAGGATGGGATATTCCCTGCTCATTTAGCCAGGCCCTCAGACACAACCTCCTGAAGAGCCTGGGCTGGGGCTTCCCCACTAACTCAGCTCTGCCACCCAGTGCTGCTTCCCGGGGAAATGCCACAGTGATTTATAAATAAGTGTAAAAAGAGACCAATGCACCTTTTAAGCAAAGGAAAACCATGGGGAGAGTTATACAACCAGTGACTCGAGCACAGCCGAGGCGCAGATCAGGGAGCAGGCAGCGGGAGGCCCTTCCTGGGCCGGCCCCTGAAGCTGCCTGGCTCAGTGAGCCCAGCCATGCCCGCTGTGCTCCCGGCTGTGCCAGGCACAGCTAACGGGACAGGGGCGTCTGTTTGAGGGAGATGAGCACCGAGCGCATCCGTGAGACATCCTTGCTCTGCTTGCTGCTCTTGGGGTTGAAATCACACAGCTGGGCCACCTTCTCCCACTCAGAGCCTGGGGTCTCCTCCTTGGACTCCTTCAGGAATGCTTCCTCCGAGGCTCTGCAAAGAAATTGAGGGTTGTCACTGGCAGACCCCTTTCCAAAGGAGACTCTTCCTTCTGTCTTAAAAACCCTTGTGTCCCTGCTTCCTGTCCCTTTACTCCAGCTGATGAGCTCAGCGTCCTCTAGGACCCCGAGACACGCAATGCTCAAGTCTGCCTTTGGCTGCTCTCATTCATCCAGGGGTGCAGGAGTGTCTGCCTCTTCCCAAAACTTAACCCCCAGAGCCATCCCCAAAAAGGCTTAAGAGCCCACACCTTTGCGTCTTCAACCAGCTCCCACAGAGGCATTTCCAGGAGCTCCACTCATCTCCTAAAACTCAACCATTTGGAGACACTTGGCTGCATCATCCTCCCTCTGGTACCTCACCAGAGCCCAGAACCTCCCAGCATCCCCCCTCCCTTTGGCTGGGCAGGCAGTGCTGGGGCCGGGACCCCCAAAGCCTGAGGGGCAGGATATGGTCTGTAAGAGGCACATACACGTAGCCAATGATATCGGCGTCCGGCTGCTGGTAAAAGGCTTTGTCAGCGATCCTAGCCCCAGGCACAGAGAGAGAGAGAGCGGAGCGGAGCGACAGGCAGGCAGAGGGTTAGAAACAGAGAACAGAGGGGGTTAGTCCTCCCAAAGAGTAACCCACACACTGCAGCACACCAGGAGAACCTGGAGCCCAACCCTGACCCCTGCAACCCCCACGCAGGAGCAGGAGGCACCAAGATCCCAGGGTGATCCCAGTGTGGTTCCAGCCAGAGTGGCTCTGCACAACCACCAGAGCCACTCCAAGACCTGGGGTTTCTCCCCTTGCTTGGCAAGGCTCTGTCCATGCAGGGCTTGGCCTCACTGTGGGGAAAGAGGCCCTCAAACATCCCAGGAAGGCAGACAGTCCTCTTGGCCATGCTGACCCAAACATACCTGTTGTTTGCTCGGTTCTTCTCCATCTGCTCATTCTGACGCAGGTTCCACTCCTCCAGGTCCTTCTTGGCCTTCTCACGCCATTCCTGCTCAGTCACCTTCGATGCCGCGTCTAAGGCCCGAGTGAGACAGAGTCCGTCAGCCACACTGGCACCTGCTGGGTGTGCTAGGCAGCCCCTCAGCAGGCAGGGCAGCTGCAGCCCCTCAGACCTGTCCCCAGTCCCCACCAATACTGGCCAAAAGGCACCACTGCCCCAAGGATAGCAGATGTTAGGCAGGGGCACAAGACATCTCTCCGGGATGCAGCAGGGTCACCAAGAGGTGAGGGACCCCAAGGTCCCTGGCTGCCATGTCACAGGGGGGTACAGGGGGGTTACACATGGCCTTGGGTCTCACCCAGCTCCTCCAGGCGCTTCTTCTGCTCCTCCCTCCACTTGCGGATGCTCTCGGGTTCCTGGGTCAGCCGGTCAGCCTTGGCTATGGCTGCGTAGGCATCCGTGGGGCCGTTGGACTCCTGCAGGACATGAGCACCTCACCATCAGCACCAGCGTTTCCAAGAGCCCAGCCCAGTCACCTCCAAGAGCTGGCAGCAGTCAGGACTCCACACTCCCAGCACTGACAAGCCAATTTAGGAGGTAGCTTGGGACATGTGGGACAGTGTTCCCAATGTGCTGCTCGAGCTGCTGTCCCAGCCTCAGGCCCTCTCATCTAAAGCCTTCTCAGTGCTTCCCTCCTTGGCTTGCAGCTCGCTGCCACTGCAGCTCCTGTATCTTCCAGGCAGCCCCCCTGCACAGGGCAGACACTGACCTTGGAACTGCTCCCCAGGGATTCCCTGGCCCTCACTCGGGCCCAGGCAGCTCCAGGACTGAGCTGCTTCCCTCACATCTGAGCTGAGGGCCCCACCAGGCCCAGCACCTCCCCTGACACCTTCCACTGGCCAGATGCCCAGTCTGACACCATGCTCAGCAATGGGATTACAGCTTTCTTCCAAGATCCTCAATCTAATTAAGTCTGTCCCATTCCTGATGCGATTATCATCCT